GAGCAGGGAGCCCGATGTGGGACTCGATCCCGGGACTCCAGGATCATGACCTGAGCCGAAGGCAGTCGCTTAACCAACTGAGCCACCCAGGCGCCCCTTTTTTTTTTTTTTTTTTTAAGATTTACTTATTTATTTGTCAGAGAGCACAAGCAGGGGTGTGGGCAGAGGGAAGGGCCCAAGGACCCTGGGATCATGACCTGAGCCGAAGGCAGATGCTTAACCGAGTGAGCCACCCAGGCATCCCCAGAGGAGTCATTCTGCCTGGGAAGTTAGTGAAGACTTCCCTGAAATGACAACATTTGAGTTGGGCTTTGAGGGTTATGTAGGAGTTTGCCACGTGCAGAACTTTATGTTCCAGGTACAGAGATGAAAACAGCATGAAGTTTTCAGGGAAACAAATAGTCAAATAAGGTGCGGGAGCTGGTGAGGCTGCAGGTGGGCAGGTGCCAGTTCGGGAGAAGCTGGCATTGCCAAGCTGGGGGATCTAGACTTTCTCCTGAGGGTGATGGGGAACTATAGAAAAGAGAGGTCCCATCTGATTGTGATCAAGTGAGGCTTCAAGGAAGAGGCAGATTTGCATAGACTTGGGCATTGGAGGATGGAGGGAGGATTTCTAATGACAGAGAAAATGGGAAAGGTATGAGGATTTCTGACTAAGGACAAGAAGTGGTAAGAATGGGGACAGATAGGGAGTCTTGATGTGGGCCCTGTGGATTCCATCCAGCCAGCCAGCCATCCATCCATCCATCCATCGACTGAACATTTAGGAGCACCTATTCAGTATAGGGCCAGGTTGAGGGGGTGTGGGTTTTGTCCTGGGTGCTCTGGGGAGCCACAGGAGGATTGTGAGCAGGGGAGGTCCACGGTCAGCTCTGGGGGTGTGTGAGGGATGACCTGGAGAGTGGAGATCGGAGGCTGGGAGGCCAGGGAGGAGGCTGGGGAGAGGGTGGAGAGGACAGGGCTGTGGGGATGGAGAGCAGGGGACAGAACTTGGGGACTGAGGTGCTGTGGGGCAGAAGGGAATGGTGACAGTGCTTGGGAGTCAGGCCCAGTGTCTGGGTGGACAGTGTGAAACAGCTAGTGGGAGCTGGGGGCAGTGAGCACCCGGGGTCCAGCCTATATCCCACTCCTCACCCACGGCCCACCCTTCTCAGTACCAGAGGCACCTGTTCGTACACATCAGCCAGCACTGCCCCAGCCCTGGAGCGCCCCCCCTCGAGAGTGTGGACGTCCGGCAGATCTATGACAAATTCCCTGAGAAAAAGGGTGGCCTTCGGGAGCTGTATGATCGCGGGCCCCCTCACGCCTTCTTCCTGGTCAAGTTCTGGGTGAGTTCTGCCACCAAAACAAAGTGCCCACAAATCACGTGGTCTCCCATCTATAAGGCCTCTGGCTCTAAGGGAGACAAGCTCAGAGTGTCAGCCCGCTTTGTAACAAGGAACACCGAGGAGTTTTACCCCCAGGGCGGGATGGATAGGACTTGGACCTCCCCAGATCACACTAGACTTTGCCACAACCAGTTGCGTGACTGATGTGGCCTTGGGGATTGGCTTGCAACCCTTCAGCCTTCCCTGCGCCCCACCCGGCCACGTGAAGCCTTGTTGCTAAGGGATGGCTCCCGTCCCTTAGCAAATAGAGGCACAGAGTTTGGTTTCTGAAAAGAGCACAGTGCCACCAGGCCCTGTTGCTAGAGAATGTCTGGCCTTAAAAAAGTGACTGAAGGACCTGGGAGGGACTTTGTGAAAGCATTTATTTATTAAACAATCATTTATTGAGCACTTACTGTATACCGGCTCTATGCCAAGTGCTATGTATATAATTGTGAACAAGAGGGTCCATCTTGGGTCTTTCTTAGGCCCATTCGGTTTGGTATCCACTACAGTGGCTGATGCTGTAGGGATCCAGTAAATGTTATGAATGTTCAGGGGGGTGTTAACGCTTGTTAACCAGAGCTGTGGCATGATCTAGTGTCTAAGAAGGAAGCGGGCTGAGGGCTTGAAGTTTACTGGCTCAGCTGGGCCTGTAGCAGCCATGGTTATAAGTTGTTCTAGTGTGTGGGGGCCCAAGATGGCTCTGCGGATGTGCCGCTGAGATCTTAGGCATCGTTGGGACTTAAGACAGGCCTCACCAGGTCTGTCTGGAGAACAACTAGAAAGCTCAGCCTCTGAAGGGATGCAGGGGTGTGGCTGGGGAGGCTGGGAGTGGCCATTGCCAGGGTGATGCATGGCGTCAGGCCTCTGAGGAGATTAAACGATCTCAGAGAGTGACCTGGTCAAGTTAGCAACTAAAGTTAGGAAGAGAGAAAAGTAGGCTTCCCGAAAAGGTGACCAAGGGGCTCAGACCACAAGTGTGATGAGGTCTTAGGCTTCGTTAGGTCCCACTTGGACTAATGGACTGTCTGCCCACTTGGCCACTGGGGTCTTAGAGGGGTCTGACCTCCAAGGATTGGCTGAAAGGGCTGGGGAGAATGTTCTGGAGAGGAGTCAGGTTTCCCCAGGCCCCTGCAGGCCCCTTTGCTAGGGAGTAGCCACTTGCCTTAGCAACCAGGGTCCTGAAGGCCTGGGGGAGGGGGGCGGAGTCTCTAGTTGCTAGGGAGTAAACTGCCTTCTTAGTAACCAGGGCCTTGGAAGGGGCTGAACTCCCAAGTTGGGGGCTTCAGGAGAAGAAAGTTGAATTGTTGGGTGGGGGGTGGGCGCTGGGACTGGGGAGAGAGGGTCAGGACCATTTTAGGGAGCCAGCCTTCTCCAGTACCAATAGGAGGGTGGGTGTTTTCCAGAAACAGGCCCGTGGAGACATGGGGTTTTGAATACAGAGGAGGAGAGGTAGGCAACTGCATGGGCTATGGGGGACTGAAGGACCTGGGAGGGACTTTGGGGCTATGGGGGAAACCAGGCCATGGCGCAGAGTTCCCACTTGAGGAGAGTCCCTACCATTTATAAGGAACCTACCTGTGCGTCCCTATCCTCCAGGCGGACTTGAACTGGGGCCCAAGTGGCGAGGAGGTAGGGACTGGTGGCAGCAGCGGTGGCTTCTACGGAGTGAGCAGCCAGTACGAGAGCCTGGAGCACATGACCCTCACCTGTTCCTCCAAGGTCTGCTCCTTTGGCAAGCAGGTGGTGGAGAAGGTGGAGGTGAGGCTGGAGGGGTGGAGCTCCGGGCAGGTGAGCGCCCAGCCACCTGCCACTTTGGGGGTGCAGACTAAAGGGACCAAAGCCACAACAGCCCCTGCACTTGGGTGTCTGTGTGGTGGGGTGGGGAGTGTCCCGTCCTCTTTGGGGATTTCATTAATACATGGGCTTAGAGCTGATATTGTGCTCCCAAGTCACATGTAGGGGTTATTTTGAGGGTTCAAAGGTAATGTGTGGTACAGAGATTTACAGTCACTAAGATTCAGAAGGTTCTTATGGATATGGAGGAATCTGCAGGGCAAGGAGGTTTAGGGGTCACACTTAGGGATTGCTGAGGGCCTGAGGGGTCTTGAACTCAGAAGTCAGAGTTCGGAGACCTAGTGGAGGGGGGTCTTTGGAGGGTGTGAGGGTATCTGAGGGCCTGGGGGTCAGAGCAGTTCAGAGGTCTTGGAGGAGGGTTCAGAGCAGTTTTGAGAGGTTGGAGGGCTTCCTGGTTTGCAGGCTCAGGGATCCCAAGTTGGATACCCAAGGGTCCAGGTCCCAAGGATGGGGCGATGGGGGAAGGATGGCAGTGGGGAGTGGGCGTGGCATCGCGGATGCACACAGTGCCTGGGGTGACCCCTGTCTGTCAGTCACTGTCCTCCCCACTCTGCGCCCCCATCCCGGTTCAGACGGAGCGTGCCCAGCTGGAGGATGGGAGGTTTGTGTACCGCCTGCTGCGCTCACCCATGTGTGAGTACCTGGTGAATTTCTTGCACAAACTGCGACAGCTGCCCGAGCGCTATATGATGAACAGCGTCCTGGAGAACTTCACCATCCTCCAGGTGAGGCATGGGGGCTGGGCCGAGCAGGGCAGCTGATGTGGGGAGTGCCCACAAGAGCCCCTCAGCCCGGGCACCCTTTCACCTGGGGGACTGACAGGGGGGAGCCCACAGCTGAGCCTTTGCTTAGGGGACCCCTTTACCCAGGAAACTGATGTGGTGGGGACTCCACAGCACTCTCATTTAGGGGGATCCCCCTGTCACTGGGGAAACTGACTTGGAGGACATCCCATGGCGGATCCTCAATTTAGGGGACCCCCCCTTCATAGGGAACCTAACCTTAGCCCAGGGAACATGATATGGTGGGATCCCCTTTAACTTTGGTTAACTTCATAGATTTTATTTGAGAGAGAGAGCTGAAGGGAGAGGGAAAGGGAGAGAGAATCTGAAGTAGACTCCGCACTGAGCACAGAGCCCAATGTGGGGCTTGATCTCATGACCATGAGATCATGACCTGAGCCGAAACCAAGAGTTGGACGCTTAACTGACTGAGTCACCCAGGCGCCCCTACTTTGGTTAACTTTGATATGCCATCTGATGTGAGGCCCCTCACTGCCAACGCTCAGATGGGGAACCGGACATGTCAGGCATCCCCTCTACCTAGGGAATGTGATATGGTGGGGACCTCTTTCCTAGGTATCCCATGGTACCTCGGGGAGGACACAGTGGTCCTTGCTCTTCCTTTTCTGCATAAACCCTTTCTCTTGGCCTCCTTGGCAGGTGGTGACAAACAGAGACACCCAGGAGCTGCTGCTCTGCACTGCCTACGTCTTTGAGGTCTCCACCAGTGAGCGGGGGGCCCAGCACCACATTTATCGCCTGGTCAGGGACTGAAAGGGGGCCCCAAAAGTGGCTCACCCCCCGGAATACCCTCCTCCCAGGAAGTACCTCCAGCTTTCTTCATGCTCATTTGGGGAGGGGGCTGCTCCGTGTTAGAGGACCTTAAAAGCTGGGTGGTGAGTTGAAAAGCTGGGTCCTGATACCGGGACCTCACAGTGGTAGCTGAAAGGACAGATCACTCCAGAGCATCAGGGACTGGGGACAGGAGTGAGACAGCCGCGAGGTACAGCACTGGTTTCTCAGTCTCTAACAGGCGCCCTCCCCCAACTTGGTTCTGGATGTTTTGGGTGGCCTTAGAAAGTATGGTTTGTCTCTCTGTTTTTCAACACCCCCCCTTCCCAATCTGCCTCTCTTTACCACCCCCAACCCTGTGACCTTGAGATCAAATATTGAAGGTTAACCCTTTGTGCAGGAGCAGAGCCAGGTGGGCCCTGGAAATATTTTTTTTAATATAACAAGAGATATTTATAAGTGGGTATTAGGGTCGTGACTTTTTCTCAGCTGGGCAAGCTGTGGGGTGAGGCTTTTAAATTTCATCCTCTCTTCTCAATAAGACGTGGGCTATATACTGTGTTGCCTCCCCTCACCGGCAAAGTGTGTTGGTTTGTGTTTTGACAGAGGATAAAACTATTTTACCAAAACGCAGGGGATTTATTTGGGGTTTGGGCGAAAATAATCCTGTGGGAGGTGGTAAGCCGAAAGATGAGGCAAGGAAACGAGGTATCTTTGGGGGCAGGAAGCTGGTGGCCGGAAGCCCCAGGTCCCGCGGGAGAAGTGACAGCAGCTGGGCAGGCAGACATCTGGGTCCCCCGGGGAAATGAGGAGGTGGAGGACTCAATGGTTGGGGCGAACTGGGGATTGAACAAATATTTACAGACCACAGGGAAGCCCCTAGGGCACTTGAAGGGGATGGGGCGGGGCTTTGGGAAGGGGCGGAGGCCTAGCGGTACCGAGCGAGCCGGTCGTAGACTTGATCCAGGTTTCTGCACAGGAATATCGAGAGCGTCATGAAGCTGAGCTATAGAGAAAGGAGACCTGGTCATAGAGGTCCATGGGATGCCGGCTAGGAGGATTGGGGTCGGGATGGTGGGGGTTCCGAGGGAGAAAAAAGGGGTTGCGCCAGGGGAAGAAAATGAAGCGCGGATATTTGGGTGGGATGGGATCATGGGAGCGGCGGCGAAGGGTGGGGCTAGAGGGGGAGATCCGCCAGGTTGAAAAAGATGGGGTCAGGGATGGGAATTTGGGGGCTTGGGGTAAGTTACCAAAGATGCGGGGGGAGGAGGGAAGATGGAAAGAAGGGGAATAGGGTGGGGTAGGGGTATCCAGCTGCGTCTAGCGCAGGTTTAGAGTCTGGGAAGGAGTGAGATCCAGAGCTAGCCCAGGGTACTTTATTCCGGAGGCTCTCCATCGGTCTCCCTCTCTGCCTCGGCCGCTAATTCCACCTCGACCTCCACCTCCTCGCCCGCGCTCCCGGTCTCAGGTTGTTCCTCGTCTTGATCCCAAAGCGGCCAGGGCCCCAGGGCCATGGGCAGCTTGCCCTGTGGGGACTTGTCCCCCCAGTTGGGACAGGCATCCGCCATGCCCCAGCCACCCCACAGACCGCCGCTACGCCCGCTGCTGCTCAGTACACCACAGCGCCCGCCGCCGCCATCAGCACTCGGGCCAGGCCCGGGGCTCGAATCACAGGCGCCCGGCACCTGCAGCTGGCGTTCGCGGCGGAGCGCCCAGCGCAGTAGTAGCAGGCTCAGCCCCGCTACACTCACCTGCGGGGAAAGGGGAGGGATATTGCGGCTAAGAGCAGGGGGCTGGAACGCCAAGGAGGACCAATGGGAACTTCGCGAGAGCGGGAGGGAACGCCTGCTTCCTGCCTGCAACCAATCAGGGCTCGCAGAGGGTGGGTCTCCCTCGTGCCAAGTGGAGAGGCAGGAGAGCCTGGATTGGCTGACGCTCTAGCACGCATGCACCTTTCCCAGAAAATGGGAGGACGCGCAGCTTGGGGCGGGGCAGTCTACGGACTGTACGGCCAATCGCGAGTGGGGACGGGTCCAGATTACCTCAAGTAGACCGACGCCCAGACAAATGCCCACTATGGAGATGAGGTTGTTGTGCAACCGCTTTTGGAGGCTCCGCGCGCAGCCCTGGGAATGTCGGGAAAGGTTAAAAGTAGGGTTCTTTCTGGGATTCGCCCTCAAGCCCGTGCCCACTGTTCTCCTCAGCCCAGCCCTCACCCCTCCTTCAGGCACCGCTCCGCATCCCTAGTTAGTAGGGTTCTCTACAGTCTCTCCACTTCGCGCGGTCCCAGCGTCCTTTCAGTCAGGACTTTTAGGCCCCGCCCCCACGGACCACGCCCCTTCTAGGGGGCCCCACCCCTCCTGATGTACCGCTTTCTCGTAGCCCCACCCTGCAGACCCTTCCCAAGTCCTGCGGCTCCGCCTCCTGGGGAGCAAGCCCCTACCGCTGCCCTAATCCCTCACAGGGCCCTCCCCTTTCTAGCCGGCTCCAAACCGTCCCCACCTCGCTGTAGATATTGCTGTTTGCAGGAACCACGCAAAGGTCTGTACTGTGCCGGGGCCGCGCCAGTGGTCCGAGCCGGCTGAACTGGGTGAAGGAGAGCTTATCGAAGACTGCGGAGTCATTGGTCGCTGATGAATTATAGCAGGAGCAGGGCACGTGATGCACCTCCGACTCGTTGCTGACGAGGCTGGGGATATTGAACCAGTCCCGAGGAGAGTTCCAGCCGCAGCAGCGCAGCTGGAAGAGGGACAAGAGTCAGAGGGACGGGGACTGGAGGGATTCAAGATGATTTGGGGGTTCAGGGGACTGGGTGATATGTATGAGGTCGTGTTGGGGAGCAGAGGGCTAAATAGTGGGTGCAGGGTGGGGGACGGCGGGCTAGGCTTGGGGACATTAGGGGAACATGGGGTTGGGAGAGATGAATCACGGGCCACGTGGGGCTGTGGGAGGAGCTGCAGAATCGCTCTGCGCACCGAAGATTGGGTGGGCAGTGCAATTCAGCCTCAGGTAGGGGACAGGTGGATGGGAGGGCAGGGCCATGTGAATGACCAGGGAATGGAGTCTCACGTGGGTCGGGTCCCGTGAGGGCCACAGTCACTAAGGATTAGGGAGTGGGGTTACGCTAGGGCCTTGGGGCTGAGGGCGAAGTCTTGTCGGGGCAGAAAGCGGAGCCTCTCCAGGGTTTCTGGGAGCTTGGGGGAAAAGCCCACGTTGGAGTCGGTTACGTTATCTTCTGGGGGCGGGGCCACGTTGGGCTGGCAGGAGGTGGGGTGGGTGGGGTAGGGTTACCTTGCGGTCCCGGAGCTGCGGGCCCCGGCTTCGTCAGAGTCCCTGAGCTAGAGGGAGGGATACGCGTCCGCGTGGGTGGGGGCCTCACGCACCTGGAACTGCACGTAGTCCCAACTCTCCTCCGCCACCGACTCCTCCGGACGCGAGCGGTAGTTTTGGATTGTCTCCATCACGATGTCCTTCACCCTCCGTTCCAGCTAAGAGACGGAGAATGAGGCCGCTTCCCCACCCCCCTTTGCCCCTACCCAGTCCAGCCACTCCCGGGCTTTCTCAGTCCCAAGGGGTCCCCCGAGCGGCTTGAAGTCGGTCTCAATTTCTCACTGAATGGCTATGTCTCTGTTCCTCAAAATCTCTGCATGTTTCTATGGTCTTTCTGTTCCCCCGCTATCTCCCACGCTCTCTCATTAGGTCTCTGTCTCTCCTGTTTCTCCGCCTGTTTTCTGTCTGCCTTTGGATCTGTATCTCTTACTATGTCTTCGTCCGTGTCGTGATCTTCCTTTGACTCTCCTTGTCTCTGTCTTCCTGTGTGTCTGTCTCTGGGTCTCTGACTCTCACTGTCTTCCTCTGCCTGTCACTGTTTTTTCCCTTTGTCCATGTCAGCCCGTGTCTGCTTTTGTTTTTCCCCCCTCCACCGCCCCATACATTTGGCGGGGGGGGGGGAGTGTGGGGAGGGGAAGCCAAGCTCACCCGCATCCGCTGAGTGGAGATGAGGATTCCCAGGGTGATCTGCGTGGCAAACAGGAGCAGCAGTATCCCAAAATACTGGGGGGCAGAGTGGAGAGTTCAGACTGAGTCCCCTCCCAGGATGCAGAGCTGCCAGGGCTCTATTGGAGGGGGGATATGGGCAGGGCACTCACCAGGCCCAGGAGGCAGCGGAGCTCCTTCAGGGCCCCCACACAGCCCAGGAGGGCAAGGCCCATGGTGAGAATTCCTGAGGTGGCCAGGGCTTTGGACCAGATCTGCAGGGGCACGAAGGACAAGCCTGGGGGAGGTGAGAGGCAGTGACATTGGGCTCATGCACACAGCTCCAGGGAGCCCTACTCCCCACCCACACAGCCACTCAACTGGGGAGCATATTCTGGGGGGCCTCTTTCTCTGGGTGTCTGTCCCTGCCACATGTTGAGTCTCTGTTTCTCTCCTTCTGGGATTCTCTCTCTCCCTCTGTCTGGGACTCTGTCCCTTCTGAGTCTCTCTAGGTCTCTGTCTTCTCTCTGGATCTCTGTCCCCCTTTCTCCCTGGTCACGGTTTCTCCCTCTTGCTCTCAGTCTCTCCTCCTCCTTCTCCTCCTCACCCCCAATAGTTTCAGTCCCATCACTTGGTCTGTGGCATTGGATCAGTCACTAAAACCTCCCTGAGGGCTAGGGGAGGATGATATCTACTCCCTAGGATTATTTTAAGGGACACATGGGAGGCATGTGTTCAACGCAGTCCTCAATACAGGACAAACACTTATTAAATATGAACCATTAGGATCTTGACTATTAGTCCATTATTACTTTCCTACTATCATTAGTGTTCTATCTGCTCTTCTACTTCCTTGCTGTGTGACCTCCAGTAAGTGACATCCCCTCTCTGAACCTCCAGAGAGGGGAAAGTTTGTGGGAGGATCTGATAAGCATCTGCATGAGCTATACCGCGTAGGAAGTGCCTGAGAAATGGCTATTACCATTTTTATTATCGTTCGTATGCACAACTCATTCGCCAGAGGAAGACCCCAAGGCTAAGAGCAGTGGCAGGCTGTGAAGCAGAGCCTGGGGCGGTGGAGATCCCAGGATGTCACACAGGGGAAGGCCAGGTCACACTTGCTCCAGGAGGCCCTCCCCAATGGCCCCGGCCCCCTCACCTACAAAGGACACGAAGCTGGTCTTGTCAATGAGTATCCAGATGCCAAAGCAGAAGATAAGGCTGCCTAGGACCTGGTGAGAGGAGATGGGAACGTGGCGGTGGGCAAAGGCGGGGGGGGGGTGGTAGCGGTGGTATATGTCAGGTCAGGTGGCTGCAGCAGGGGCGGGGGCCGGGGCCTGGGCTGGGCAAGCCATGTGGCAACTCACGAAGAAGAAGAGGTTGAAAACGAAGAGGAGGTACTTGATGAGGCTGAGGCAGCTGTCCTGGGCCGACATCTTCGCCTAGAGGGGTGGGCAGCCGTGGGAGGGACAGAACAGAAGAGGTGCTGGTCCCGGAGGAGACAGGCAGAAAGACAGAGGCCGTGAGAGACGGAGAGGGAGAAAGGAAGAACGCAGAGAAAGAGGAAGTCCCCGGGGTGGAGCCCCACCCCCTCCCTCT